ATGGAAGCATGTTCTAAATTGGCGTAGAGATAAAACTGCTCCCTCCAGTGCTGCAGATACTGCCACTTCTACGTGCAGAGCAAGTGTAGCTGGAAAGTCAAATCCTGTCTGGCAGCTTCTGACTGGTAGAGCCTAGGTCACAGGGTCTGTGTCTTAGCCGCAAAAGAGGAAGGGAAAGTAACTATCTGGCATTTTAGCTCCTGTAGTGTACCCCTACCATACAAACCAAATAGTTTTAAGATTAGGAATTCTGCAAACATACATAAAAGATGGTTCTGCAGCTGGGCAGCCAAAACAGGATGACAAACGTCCTGACAATAACCATACATCTCCCACTTCAGAGTTTGTTGTATAATCAATGAAGTCCGTCCTGGGAGGGGCTTAAACTAAGATCACAAATTGTAACTTGTGGCCATATTGACTTACGGACCTAACAATTCTCAATTCAATGATGTATTTATAGCCCTGCATTTATCTACTGTTTTTAGTAGAGGCTCTTACATCCACATATGTAGCTTTCTTGGATCAACTTAACTTGATCCAAGAATAGAACCCAGAATGTCCAGAGGAGTGGATAGAAGAGCAAATCCTTTTTATTATCTCTAAGGGGTCTTAATAAAACTGAATTTATCAGTTAAAAAAGCAAATGATTAAGTTAAGAACAGAAATATCAATACACAATACCTGTTTACTTTAAAATGAAATTAGCAACTATATGAATAGATATAGAAATTCTCATCCAAAATATAAATTTCAAAAGTGACAGAGGTGCATATGAAGAATTGAAATTTGCAATAATTATTAAAAAACTACTGGGGAGAAGATTAATTCAACTACATACACAACCATCTCAAAACAGACTCTGTTGTGGGGCTGGCCCCGTGGCCGAGCGGTTAAGTTCGCGCGCTCCGCTGCAGGCGGCCCATTGTTTCGTTGGTTTGTATCCTGGGCGCGGACATGACACTGCTCGTCAAACCACGCTGAGGCAGCGTCCCACATGCCACAACTAGAAGGACCAACAACAAAGAATATACAACTATGTACCGGGGGACTTTGGGGAGAAAAAGGAAAAAATAAAATCTTTAAAAAAAAAACCAAAAAACAGACTCTGTTGTCTTCTCCCCAAGTACCGTGAGTGCAAATGAGGAAGGAGGATTCCATAATTGCCTAACTCCTTCTGTGGCACTGAGTGGATCCTGCTTGGTTAGGCGACTTCAACTGCAGGCTATCTCAGAAGGTGGATACAAGGGCAGTATATGTAGAGTATGGCTGCCAGTGAGCATGGGAGAGGCATGCTGAGGCTTGCTGCAGAATGATGATCCTTGGCTTGTATGGTCAAATTAGCCTGAAACACATAAACTAAGATGGCCAAAAAAAACCACAAAAATCACCAGGTCCAACTCTTAACCAGTATCTAAAACGTCCTCTACTGATAACATAATGTGTGGAATTAGAAGGAAATGCTCCTGGAAAGAGAAGAGATGGAAAATATGAAGCAGAGTCACTAGGAGAAGAAGAAAGCCCTTCTCAGCTGCTCACAGAGCTGCCATCTGTTCCAGGGGTGCTTTGGGCTTCTCTCCATACCTTCATCAAAACCACTTTTCTGTGCTCTTGTTCCATGAACCAGCCACCGCATGTGAGTCACTTTTACCAGCAATGCAGACAGGCTTTGGTAATTGTTGAACAGCATGAACAAACCATCCTGACTCACTGAAAAGAAAAAATATACATTAGACATCACAGCCACGAGGAAGCAGAAAAAATAATTCGAGCAGAAAGAAAGTTATCTGATGGTGAAAGAGATTATTTTGGTCGTTGTTGCTGTTAATTAATAAGGATTTATTTTTAATATCAGATTTTCAGCATATAATTGTCTCAACCCAATTAGAACATCTGAAGGGTCAGCATTGTTCAGATATTGTCATTTTATGGTGGAAAATGTAAAACTCCTTAGAAATAATAATATGAGATTTTGATCTACTTTTTATTCCTTAGTGACTAGAAGGCAATAAATTAAAGCCAACATACCTTCTAAAAAAGCTATTGTTCAGGTTGGTGATGTTTTTTCCCTCGACTTTCTGTTAATATTCCTAATTACCACACACACACACACAAAATCACTGCCTTTTCCAAGAATATGGAAGATTAGAAAATGTGAAAATCTTTCACCAGAGAAAGTTAGAAATGCTGGAAAAATGTAATGAACATTTTGTTCAGTGCATAGGTGAGGTTTCAACAGAGTGAAAGAATTTCCAAGGGCCCCAAAACAAGAGGGAACTGAAAAACAAAGCAGTAAGAGGATGGGGAGGGGAGCTTCTGATGTCAGTAATCAAGATTTGGGTTCAAATAGCCATTCACTGATGGAGACAAGACCTTAAGACTAAGAAAGCAAGAAATCAGAATTGAAATCTCCACACAGAATCAGATCTCTTGAAGAGCTATAAAATGATAGCTAGGAGGTCCTAGAAAATATTGCAAAGGGAGATAATGCACAAGATGGTGTCACTTGCTGCCATAAATGGCTTTGGATGGGGAGAAACATCTTGTAAGAAAGTCTGCCTTCAAATTGGATTGGTATTTATTTTAGTTGCATGGTCTGGGTACCTGCAAGCCAAGAAATTAACTAATTATAGGCTGGAAATATTCTTGTGAGGCCTGATAGAAACAAACAGAAGCAAAATGTTCTAGAGGGATGCACCTAAAACTCAGACTACACAAGATTTTTATGGATAAATTCCCACTTAAGATGAAGTCATTTTCCAAAATACAAAACTCAGAAGGCAGAAAATGTCACCAGATGAAGAGATAGCCAGATTAAATACCTAAGAACCTGAGATAATAGAGATATCAACTCAAATTGTCAAATAAGTATAAGATTTCAAAGAAGGAAATGAAAACATGATAAAAAGTAAAAATATAAAGGTGTTTTTAAATGTACTTTAGAAAACAAAAAATTACAGAAATGAAAAATACAGCGATTAAAAATAAAAATCATGGGGCTGGCCCCATGGCCAAGTGGTTAAGTTCAAGCGCTCTGCTGCAGGCGGCCCAGTGTTTCGTTGGTTCGAATCCTGGGCGCGGACATGGCACTGCTCATCAAACCACACTGGGGTGGCGTCCCACATGCCACAACTAGAAGGACCCACAATGAAGAATATACAACTATGTACCAGGGGGCTTTGGAGAGAAAAAGGAAAAAATAAAAAAAATAAAAAATAAAGTAAATAAAAATCATTGGAACAGTTAAATATCATGTAAACACAACTGAAGAGAGAGTTGGTAAACTGGATAATAGAGCTGAAGAAATTACCCAGAATGAGAAGGAGAGAAAGAGAGAATATGCAAGAGATGTTGAGAGACATGGAGTATAGGAGGACTAACATAAAATCTAATAGAAGCACCGGAAGGAAAGAACAGAGAGAATGAAAGAATGGAGGATTGATAGGCAATGTTTGAGGGAAAGATAAAAGCTGAAATGTTTACCAAAATTATAGAGAAACTCAAATACTTAGCTTCAGAAAACAAAATAAATTCCAAGCTGGAGAAATTAAATTCATACCTAGACACATGGTAGTGAAACTGCAGAATTCCAGATAGAGTAAAATTCTCAGAAGCAGCTAAAGATAAGAGATTACCTCCAAAAGAATACTCATCAGTATAACAGCAGATATGTCATCATCAGCAACAGAAGTCATAAATCAGTGGAAACAGTTACCAGAATATGCAGTGAACTATGCCCTTTGATTTCAAAAATGAATTCTTTTTGAGAAGAAGAAAAGAAGTTGAATCATCTCTTTTCCTGTCAAGGAATGCTTGGCAGTAAGCCAGGAAATCAGCAGGATAGCCTGGCAACTGGAAGCTGAATCCAGCAATTGAAACTAATGTTAAATTACAGGTATTTTCCACTGATTAAGGCTATGTCATTCTATGAAGGAATGTGGTTGGGTGAGGGTCAAGTGGGGAGTTGGAAATGCTTATTGAAGAAACAGTATGTGATAACCAAGCACAATGCCACATGTTGGGGTCAACTAATCAAGAGTTTGGCTATTAAGACAACAGAGACACAATGATAGTCAGCAGTGTTTAATTTGCATTAGGTTCTAATGCACTGACCTGTAAAGGATGTCATGTAATATTCTTAATGCTTAATAGTTTGTATATAATAAAACAAAGCTATCAGTGTATTTCAAATGGTTTAGTTAGATTTCAGGGCTATTCTTTCTCATAAATGATACTTTTACTTTTTTACTACAAAAGTAATTCCTGTGTGTTGCAGAAAACTTTAAAGACATATACAAGTTGCAAGAAAAAAAATTAAATTTCTTTTAATCTCATCACCCAAAGAAAACACTGATCAGCTTTTTAGAATATTTCAAGTGTATTTTGTTTTATTATTTTTTAATTAAACATTTTTATTTTGAGAGACTTACAGATTCACAATGCAATTCTAGGAAATAATACAGACAGATCCTGGGTACCCTCTATCCAATTTCCCCAAATGATAACATCTTGCAGAACTATACTATGATATCACAGCCAGGATATTAACATTAAAACAAAGTACAGAACATTTCCTTCACCAAAAGAATCCTTCATATTGCCCTTTAATGCAAAGCCTGAGAATTCCCTAGTTCTGTACTGAATAGCAAAACCATAAAAGAGTACTCCAGTATGACATGAATTTAATTCTATTGTGGATTATATTCATTCCCTCGCACTCTCTCTCAATATTGGACATTTCCATTATTCCTCAACATCAACAATAAAAATGGCTTCTACGTTTGTAAATAACTGATCGTCCTACCTTCACCCTTGGAGCGGGGAGAAGGATCCATGATAAGCATAAAAATACTATGTGGCGGGCTGGCCCCGTGGCCAAGTGGCTGGGTTCATGTGCTTTTCTTAAGTGGTCCAAGGTTTCGCCAGTTTGGGTCCCGGGTGCGGAGATGGCACTGCTCATCAGGCCATGCTGGGGTGGCATCCTGCATGCCACAGCTGGAGGGAGCCACAACCTAAAATGCACAACTATGTACCGCGGGGCTTTGGGGAGAAAAAGGAAAAAACAAAAACCATGTGATAAGCATAAAAACAGCTAACATTCATTCATCACTTTCCATGTGCCAGACAGTATAATTGTCATTTAATAGGCATTAAATATTTTGATTCTCACAACACATATGTGAAGCAAATACTATTAAATTCCCCATTTCATAGATGAGGAAACTGAGGCTCAGTGATGTTAGGTAACTTGTCCAAGTCACACACAGTTAACAGTGGCTTCACAGTCAAATCCATATGGTCTGTCTCTAGATCCCAAGCTTTCAATGCTGTTTACCCTGTGCATGAGAGTGATGTCTTCTGCAGCATTACATTGTACCAGAGTGCTCTAAACCTTCCTGCCTGGCTCAGAAAAGGGACATCATGGGTGACTTTTAAGTATTCAAAAATGATATTTGTTTCTTTCATTCATTCATTTGCTACGTAGCAATTACCTTATATTCTCTTCATAAAGAGACTAACTGAAAGAACATATATAATCTTCATATATTTGAAAGGAAACCCATCATTTATTTATTGAAAGGTATGCATGAAATGTCTACCATGTGCCAGGCATTGTTACAAGTATTTAAGGTACATTAATTATCAAAACAGACAAAGATGGCTGCCTTTAAAAAGTTTACATTTTAGCATGAAGGAAGCAGAAAATAAACAGCTAAAATAAATAAGACATAAATGAATTATGTAGTATATTTGAAAGTAGAGGTACTAGGAGAGAAAGAAAAACTAGTGTAGGTGAGGGGAATCAACAGAGGGTTGTACAGCTTGCAAGCAATATTAAACAGGATGGTCAGCGTAAGAAAATGATACGTGATGGTGAGAGAATTAGTCTTTGGGGAAGAGGATTCCAAGTAGAGAGAACAGTTCTAAGACCCTAAGTTGGGACAGTGCCTGGCATGTGTGAAGAATGGCAAGGAGACTAGTGTGGCTGAAGCAAAATGATCCATTGGGACAATAGTAGTAGATGAGGGAAAAGAGACATGTACAGCCATGAAAGTCACTGAAAGATTTTTGGATTTTTTTGAGGGATGGTGGTGTCTTTGTTTGTTTTTAATAAAAGCTTTATTGTGATACAATTCACATCCCATAAAATTCACTTATAAAGTGTACAACTCAAAGGTTGACAGTATATTCACAGAGTTGTGCTACCATCATCACAATCTAACTCCAGAGTATTTTCATCACTCCAAAAAGAATCCTCATATCTTAGCATTGGCTCCTCATTTCTCTCTGTCCCTGGATACCACTAATTTACTTCCTGTCTTTATGGAATTGCCTATTCTTGACATTTCATTTAAAAAGAATCATACAGAGCCAGCCCTGATGCCCTAGTGGTTAAAGTTCGGTACTCTCACCACTTCGGCAGCTTGGTGTCGTTTCCCGGTCGTGGAACCACACAACCCATCTGTCAGCAGCTCACACGGAAGACCTAGGATATACAGCCATGCATCGGGACTTTGGGGAGGAAGAAAAAAGAGGAAGATTGGTAACAGATGTTAGCTCAGGGCAAATCTTTCCCTGCCAAAAAAAAAGGAAATCACCTACTTTAAAAAAAAAAAGAATCATGTAATGTGTGGCCTTTTGCATTTGGCTTCTTCTGCTTGGCATGATATTTTCAAGGTTCATCCACAGCATGTATCAGTACTTTGTTACTTTTTAGGGCTGAATGATACCACATTTTGTGTATCAATTTGTTATTTGGCTATACAAATGACAAATATGTTTTCTGGTTTATCATAAAGGATACACCTCAGAAACAGTCAAATGGAAGAGATGCATACAGTAAGGTATTAGGCATAGAGTGGGTGAGTATGTGTGGGGGAGTCATATAAAGATTCCATACCCTCTCCAGGCACACCACCTCCCAGAACCTCAATATGTTCACCAACTTGGAACCTCTTTGCACCCCATTGTTTGGGATTTGTATGGAGGTTTCCCTGCATAGATATAATTGATTAAATCACTGGCCATTTGTGATTGAATTCAATTTGCAGCCCTCCTCTCCTCCCCCGAGCTGGGGAGAGGGACTGAAAATTCCAACCTTCTTATCATGGCTTGATCTTTCCAGTGACTAGCCCCCAAAATGAAGCTATCTAGGAGCCCCAGCCATAAGTCATCTCATTAGTATGCAAAAGAAACTCATCACTGAGAAGATTCCAAAGGTTTTGGCAGCTTTGTGTCAGGAAGGGGGATGAGGGGACAAAGACCAGATATATTTCCTATTATACCACAATATCATATAGTAATATTTGATTGTTAAACCCTGCAAATATAACAGGTACTAAAATTTTAAATCAAATGCTAGAATGTACCAGTTTTGCAGCTGAATTCTGATATTTTCTTCTCTGGCTTTGTCTAGTATCTTAATCCACCATCATGTCTGAAATCCCTGCACAATATCTGCCATTCCAACTCCAACTGGGAAGATACACCTATAAAAAAAAATCCAAGAAGTACCTCATAGGTTGTCACTCCCATGTTTCCGCATTTATCCACAAAGCGCTGTCTGCCCCAAGCAGCATAATGGTGCATCCTTGGCTAACTTCAAGATAGCACTAGCTATCTGTGGCTACCATTTGAGAAAGAGCAAGTTACCTCTACCTGGGCTAAAAATAATGGGAAGCCATCAACCTCTTAATGTTCTAAAATTTTCATTAGAAAATAAACATAGTCAAACATAGGAATATGGCCAAGATGTCATGTAATGGCTACTAATTAAAACGTGGCAAACACTGCCAAGAAACTACCCCAAAAGTATCTGAGGCAACTGCTGCTAAAAGACTATGAAGAAGATTCTGGAGACCACAGGACTGTCAATGAAAAATTCAAATAAATAAGTCTCCCTCACACAGTCAATAAAATGTTGGTCAAAGTAGACAAAAGCAAGAAATAGGACTCAAAAAGAAGTCAAGTGTCATTTAGGAAGCAATTATCTGATAACACAAAACTCAGAGCCCTCTTAGGCCTAAGCTTCACGTACATATTAAATATTGGATGACTGATAAGGCTTGGTGGATTACATTTGCCAAAGGTCATTTGTATTTCAAAAAAGAATTAACTTCTAGAACAACAGAATGCTCTAATTCATTCAACAAATATTTACTGAGCATCTACTCCGGGGATATGGCCATACAGGCATATATGCTCCAAAAAGAAGGAAAATTATTCTGAGAGAGCTTATATTAAAGACTTTGATCACAGAAGTATCCTGGAGGAAATAATCATTAAACTGAGATCTGAAGGATGAATTGGGTTGAATGGTCTGAGCCTTAAAGTGAAATAGGGTTTTTACCAGAGGGTTGGTATATCAGTTTACTAGGGCTGCCATAAAAAAGTATCACAAACTGGGTGGCTTAAACAACAGAAATTTATTGTCTCACAGTTCTGAAGGCTAGAAGTCTGAGATCAAATCAATAACTGTGAGGCACCACATTAACAGAATATAGGACAAAAAAATCACATGATCATCTCAACAGAAGCAGAAAAAGCATTTGACAAAATTCAATATCATTTAGTGATTAAAAAAAAAACCTCTTAATAAACTAGGAATAGAAGGAAAGTACTTCAACATAAAGGCCATATAGGAAAAGTGCACTGCTAACATCACACTAAATGGTGAAAAACTGAAAGCTTTTGTCTAATATCAGGAACAAGACAAGGATGCCTGCCTTTGCCACTTCTATTCACCATAGTACTAGAAGTCATAGTTAGAGCAATTAGACAAGAAAAAGAAATAAAAGCCATCCAAATTGGAAAGGAAGAAGTAAAATTGTCCATGTTTCCAAATGACAAGATCTTATTTATAGAAGAGCCTAAAGACTCCACCAAAAATCTGTTGGAACTAATAAATTCAGTAAAGTTGCAGAATACAAAATCAATATACAAAAATCAGTTGCATTTCTATATACTAACAATGAACTATCTGAAAGAAAAATTAAGGAAACAATCTCATTTACAATAGCATAAAAAACAATAAGATACTTAGGAATAAAATTAACCAAGGAAGTGAAAGACCTGTACATTGAAAACTATAAGACGTTGATGAAAGAAACTGAAGAAGACATAAATAAATAGAAAGATATCCCATGTTCATGGATTGAAGAATTAATATTGTTAAAATATCCATACTACTCAAAGTGATCTACAGATTCAACACACCCTAACAAAATTCCAATGACGTTTTTCACATAAATAGAAAAAAGAATCCTAAAACTTACATGGAACCAACAAGGAACCCAAATAGCCAAAGCAATCTTGAGACAGAAAAACAAAGCTAGAGGCATCACACTTCCTGATTTCAAAATATATTACAAAGCTACAGTAATCAAAACAGTACTGTACTGGCATAAAAACAAATGGAACAGAATAGAGAGCCCAGAAATAAACCCATGCATATTTAGTCAACTGATCTTTGTCAAACGTACCAAGAATATACAATGGGGAAAGGACAGTCTCTTCAACAAATGGTGCTGGGAAAACTGGATACCCATATGCAAAAGAATGAAATTGGACCCTTACCTTGCACCGTACACAGAAGTCAACTCAAATGGATTAAGACTTAAAGAAAAGATCTGAAAGTGTAAAACTCTTTAAAAAAAAAACATAGGGAAAAAGCATCATGATATTGGTCATGGCAATGATTTTTTGGCATATGACACCAATAGCCCAGGCAACAAAAGCAAAACAAGTCAAGTGCAACTACATGAAACTAAAAAGCTTCTGTACAGCAATGGAAACAATTAAGAGAGTGAAAAGGCAACATATGGAATGGGAGAAAATATTTGCAAACTGTAAATCTGATAATGGGTTAGGAGCAAAAATATAGAAGAAACTCCTACTATTCAATAGCAAAAAAACAAAACCTGATTTAAAAATGAGCTACGGATTTGAACAGACATTTCTCCAAAGAAGACATAAATGGCTATCAGGTATATGAAAAAATGCTCCAGGGGCCAGCCCGTGGCTAGGTTTGCACACTCTGCTTTGGTGGCCCAGGCTGGTTTGGATCCTGGGCGCAGACCTACACACCATTCATCAAGCCATGCTGTGGCAGAGGCCCACATAGAAGAACTAGAATGACTTACAACTAGGATATACAAGCATGTACTGAGGCTTTGGGAGAAAAATAAAAGAGGAAAAATAAGATGGTTGGCAACAGATATTAGCTCAGGGCCAATCTTCCTCATCAAAAAGTATACCTTTAAAAAAAAGAAAAAATGCTCCAACATTACTAATCATTAGGGAAATGCAAATCAAAACCATAATAAGATATCATCTCACACCTGTCAGGATGGCTACTGTCAAAAAAAACGAAAGAAACAAGTGTTAGTGAAGATGTGGAGAAAATGGAACCCTTGTACATTGTAGGTGGGAATGCAAAATGGTGTGCCATTGTGGTAAACAGTATGTAGGTTCCTCAAAAAATTAAAAATAGAACTACCCTATGATCCAGAATCTCACTACTGGGCATTTATCCAAAAGAATTGAAATCAGGATCTCCAAGAAATATTAGCACTCCCACGTTCTTTGCAGCACCATTCACAACAGCCAAGATGTGGAAACAACACAAACATCCATCAACAGTTGAAAAGATAAAGAAATCATGGTATACACATACAATGGAATATCATCCAGCCTTTAAAGAGAAAAAAATTCTGCAATATGCAACAACATGGATAAACCTTGGAGACATTATGCTAAGTGAAATAGCACAGTCATGAAAAGACAAACATTGCATGATTTCACTTACAGGGGTATCTAAAATAGTCAAATAGAATCAAAATATATAATGGTGGTTGGCAGGGGCTGGAGAGAGGGTGAAGTGTGAATTATTAATCAACAGGCACAAAGTTTCAGTTAAGCCAGATGAATAAATTCTAGAGATCTGCTGTACAATATTGTACCTATAGTCAACAATACTGTATTGTACACTTAAAACTTTGCTAAAAGGGTAAATCTCATGTTAAGTGTTCTTACTAAAGTTAAATCAAAATTTTTAAAAAGAATTCTAAGATGTGTCTCACTGGGTTAAAATCAATGTGTTAACATGGCTGTGTTCCTGTTCGAGGTTCTAGGGGATAATTAGTTTCTTGCTTTTTCCATCTCTAGAGGCTACCCACTTTCCCTGGCTTATTGTCCCTCCTTCCATTTTCAAAGCCAGCAACATCAGGCTGAGTCTTTTTCACACTGCCACCTCTCTGGTTCTCTTTGTTCCGCCTCCCTCTTCCACTTATAAGAATTATGATTATACTGGGCCCGTCTGCATAATCCAGGATAATCTCGCTATAAATGGTAGACTGAATAATGTCACCCAAAGATATCTAGGCCTGAATTCCTGGAACCTATGATTGTCACCTTATACGGAAAAAGTAAATTTGCATATGTAATTAAATTAAGGATCCTGAAATGGGGAGATTATTCTGGATTATCTAGGTGAGCTCTAAACATAAACACAAGTGTCCTTATAAGAGGGGGACTGAGGGAGATTTGATGACAGAGAGGTAAAGGAGATATGGTGACAGAAGCAGAGATTAGAGAGGTGTGCTTTGAAGATGGAGGGCCCCCAAACCAAGGAATGTAAGTGGCCACTAGAAGACCAAAAAAGCAAGGAAAGGGACTTTCCCCTCAAAGCCTCCAGAAAGAACCAGCCCTGCAAACATTTTGACTTTAGCCCAGTGAAACTGATTTCTCTCACAACTGTGAGAGAATAAATTTGTGTTTTAAGCCACTATTTGTGGTGATTTGTTACAGGTGCAATAGGAAACTGATGTGCTATCTCAAGGTCTGCTGATTACCAATCTTAATTCTATCTGCAACCGTAATTTCATTTTGCCTTTTCACCTAACATATTCACAGGTTTCAGGGAGCAGGATGTGGACATCTTGGGGGGAGGGACATTAAACTGCCTACCACAACTTCACACACACTGAAAACAAATACCAGGTCAATAAAATACACAAAAGCAAGTATTAACAGAAAATATAGGAGAATGCATATATAATCTTGGGGGTGTAAAAGACCTTAAACAAGACAACAAGGTTGTAAGACATCTTTTTAAAAGATTGTTACATTTATTTCTACCAGAATTTTAAAATTCTGTCAGTTGAATAATACTAGCTACAAAGTAATAATACAAACAAGCTGGCAGAATAATAATACAAGGTGGCAGAAAACATTTGTAACATATACAACCAAGGATTAATAGCCTAAGAGAAAAAAAGAGAGAAAAAAGGAACATTTGAATGTATGAAACACATATAACTATGTTCTTTAGGGCATGCTATACTAATAAAAACAGAAAACAACTTACATGCCCATCAAAGGGGGATGATTCAATAAATGGTACATTTATCCATACAATAGGCTACCTGCAGCAATTTAAAACAATGAGGAGGAATCTCTCTCACTTGCAAAGTTCTCCCAGACATATTGACATTTTAGCCAGTTATAGAATAGTGTGTACTGTATCATGCTATTTAAGGGGGGAACAATATGCCCCAAACAAAAGCATAAGTCATAAGGAATCCCCCTACTTGATGAGGATATCAGCAGTTACCTCTGGGGAGAAGAGTAGCAAGCACAGGGAAACATCACTTTTGTTCTGTATTATCTGAATGCAAGTGCATTCATGTATAAACTGCATAATATTTTTGAAAGCACAGTTTTGTCTTGCTCATCATTGTATCCATGCACTCAGGACATCCACAGGTAATGTTTGCTCAGTAATGAAGTCCAAGAGGATGGGACTTACTGCTAATGCTAAATCCTGTGCTGCTGAGAAGATGAGCTGGTTATGCCTAAATTCTTCCTGCTTCAAGCCAAGCTTGTTCTTTGTCTGGAAACTGCTTTGGAGAAACTAGAAGCCTGAGCCAGAGGTGTGTGTGTGTGTGTGTGTGTGTGTATGTGTGTGTTTGTACTAGTATGTATAACAATTTATACCCTTTATGTCGAACCAGACAACAACCCTCAAAGTAGTCACCCTCGTTCCCATTTTGCAAATGAGGAAACTAAGGCTGAGAGAAAAGATTAACTGAAACACTTACCCTGGTGTATTCTCTTTTTTCCTTCCTGTTAATGCAATTTTGACAGTTGCAGAATTCTTATGAAACAGAATGTGGTCAGTTCTAGGAAAACTTCCTTTCGCCAGTAATTGGCTTATTAGTTATTTCATTTGTATTAATAGTTCATACACTTGTTTTTGCACTGGTAGCAAATTGTATTCAGTACAAAGCAAATCTCCCTCCACACAACCCCCAGCCACCCACTTTCCTCCTCTGAGGAGTCAACAACTCTTGTGGGTCTTTCCAGAAATATTCCATGCATACACAAGCACATATACAAATATTTCTAAAATTTAATTTGAAGTCTTTCACACA